AAAGGGGTCCCGATCCAAACTCCAAGAGAGGGTTCTTGGATTTCACTCAAGAAAGAATGTGAGGCAAATTCATAGAGCAAAGTAAAAGCAAGTTTATTAAGAAATCAAAGGAATAATCAATATCTACCCCATTGGCAGAGCCTCAAAAAAAATGATGTTTTGTACTGACATTATATCCAGTGACATCATGAAAATTACTTATTTCTAATAGTCTGTGTATTCTTATGAATTCCATAGCTATATAATCATAACATATATCACTAATAGCAATTTTATTCTTGCTTTCCATTCATACCTTTAAAATTTTTTTCTTGCCTTACTTCGCTGGCCAGGACCTCCAGTATAATATCAAACGAAAGTGGTGAGAATGGCTAGAGTCAAGAGTCTTTTGAAAATCCAGGTACACAGGTCCTATATCCTCAATTCTGATTCAGTAGGTTCAGATTGGGGACCTGCAAAATAGATATTTTAACAAGTATTCCAAGTGATTCTGATGTAGGGGTGTCCTAGAAACACACTTTGAGTAACATTTTTAAAGGGTAAGCTTTACTCACTTGAAAACTTTTCTTCATGGGGATGGAATATCACATCCTTATTTCTTCCTCCCCTTCTCACCTCCATCCTCTTCTGTAGCCAATGGATGTATGAAGGATAATTTTCCTGAGCACCCTATTGAGCTACTTCTTTTTCTTTGGCTATACTTCTGGATATAACATATATTTAAGAGTCTACAGTGTTAAAATGTTGACTGACTTTAGGAAAAGAAAAAGAAAAACTACATTCTTCCCAAGTCAGGAGTCATATTTAGAAAGAAGCAATTATAGGCAGTAGAGCACCGGGGGGAATAAAAAATACATTTTGAAGTCATTGAGGTCACAGTTAAATTCAATCCTTTTGTACAGACACCTGCATCCACACAGACACACATATAAACAATCATGTGGGTTTTACCACATGATAGAAACAGCATGAGGGGGGAAAATAGATTCTAAAGGATGCAGAGTTATATAAAATAGACTTAAAAATAGGAAATTACCTGGTAGAAGTATGGATACCATGTAGTTTTCTAAATATAATTCATTACAAATTAAAGGACCAATGTATTTTCTTAGATTTAAGAGACAAAATATACCATGGATATTTATGGAAAGCAGAGATATAAGAATAGCTACAAATAACACTAGAGTATTAGACTTAGGCAGAGATTCTAAGATCATATATGACACTTGCATTTTTATAGTGGAGGTGAATGCTGGTAGAGCGACTTGCCCAGTGTCACTTGGGTGAGGTGGTAGTACTACTGGGAGCAGCACCCACCATCCTGATGCCTACCCCCAAGGCTCTTCTGCTGATGTCATGCAGCCAGAAGTTTTATGATAAGGGGTCATGAATATGAAAGGAGTCCCAGAGATTAAAGAATATGGAAATATTGGGACAAGCCCATAAAACTGAGTCCTTTTTATAGGATAGGAGGGGATGCATATAAAGGGACTGATTCTGTGTGGAACTGTTAAAAGGCCAAGGAAGGATGTGAGAAAAGGGGCAAAGTAAAAAGAGAACAGAAAAAAACAGATGAAAGACACTAAGAAAGTAAATCACACATACCAAGAAAATGGAAGATAACAGTTAGAAATAAAAATGTGATAAAAGAATTCAAGGCTGGGCACAATGGCTCAGGCCTGTAATGCAAAACTTTGGGAGGCTGAGGTGGGCAGATTGCTTGAAACCAGGAGTTTGAGACCAGCCAGATCAATATGGCAAAACTCCATCTCTACAAAAAATACAAAACTCACCCAGGCTTGGTTATGGCATGCACCTGTGGTCCCAGCTACTCAGGAGGTTAAGGTGGAAGGATTGCTTGAGCCTGGGAGGTGGAAGTTGCAGTGAACTGAGCTTGCATCCACCAGCCTGGGTGACAAAGTGAGAGCCTGTCTCAAAAAGAATTATTTCAATAATAAAATGGCCTGTAGTGAAATAATATGAAAGTGCATTTAAACTCCTTTAAAGAAGGATAAATCTAAAGTGGTAGCATTATTAAGTTCCCAAACCTCTAAAATGTTAAATGGATGATAAACAGAAATTCAGGATGTACCTCTATGAATTGGGAGAGCTAAGTGTAGATATTCCTTCAGATGACTTTATCATTTTTCCAGAAACAAAGCTGATGAATGAGAATACAAAGGAATGGGGAATCTCAAATTCTGAACAATCAAATAGACTGCACTAATTCACAGGAGGCACCATTTATACAGTATTTAGAATTATTTCCTTATATTCTACACTTCCTTAAGAATGTGAACCTAAATGTTGTAACCAATAGATTGGTTTATGGCCTGTCAATCCTTTAAAAGTATTAACTTTCATAATCCATTTGATGAGCCATAGGCTTCTGTGGCACCTCTTGGAAGAGGAGGCCTTCACTTTAAAACCATGTTTAGCAGTAATAAATGGGACATAACAATGAGGCATATGTCATAGAAAAGTGAGTCTGAAAGGTGGTTAATCAACCAAATATATATATACTTAGCAAATCCATACATGAGTTAAGGGCATAGGATTTGAGATCAGGCAGACATGGATTTGGTCTCCAGTTCAGTCACTCATTAGTTATGAGTACTCACAACCCTCCTTCACTTCTTTCCTTTTTTTCCTTCTCCCTCTCTCTGTTTTGTTAATTCAGAAATACCTGTTGGCCACGTATATTGGCTAATGCTTGTATTCCCAGCACTTGGAGAGACCCAGGAAGGAGGATTCTTTGAGGTCAGGAATTTGAGATCAGCCAGAGCAACATACTGAGACCTCATCTCTACCAAAAAAAAAAAAAAAAGTTGGGCTTGGTGGTGCATGCCTGTAACCCTAGCTACTCAGGAGGCTTGGGTGGGAGGATTGCTTGAGCCCAGGAGGACAGGGCTGCAGTGAGTGAAGGTCATGCCAATGTATTTCAGCCTAGGTGATAGAGACCTTGTCACAAAACAAACAAAAATCCTGCTGAACATTTACTATATGCTGGGTTCATGCCATAAACTAATGAGCTTAGTCACTTCACATTTCTGAGAAAGAACAGGAAATGTTTATAGATAAGAAATTTGTGGTGTGCCACTTAAGTAAAGGTGCAGATGCAAAAGTGAGCCAGATTTGTTGGGGTGACTCTAAGCCAACTGGAGGTAAATAATGGGAGATGAGGATGGGAAAGAAAGGTTGTGAAGGGCCCTGAATGCCAGAATAAGCAGTTTCAAATTAACACAGAGGACTGACTGACAATTAGAAATCAGGAGACTAGGGAGATAACCTAGCAAAGGATGGGATTATTTCAAGAACAATGGATTACTAAGTATTTCAGAGAAGCCAAGGAACAATTAGTTTTGACTATTAGAAGGATATTGATGGAGGCTTTTAAAATAACTTTGGTTGAGTGGTGAGGATAGAAACCAGTGATGGGGATCAAAGGACAGTATTGGAGTGTAAAAACAGAAGACTGATGGCCAGGAGTTCCACGGGAAGGTTAAACAGAATGGGAAGGAAACAGTCAGTATGGTAGAAATAGAGGGAGCAGCAAGGCCAAAGGCAGGCATATTTTTCCTAAAATGAGTAGCTACTATACCTGTGTGAAGGTAAAAGAAAGACCAATGAAAAGAGAAGATGATTCTAGAATGAGAAAAGACAAGTGGAGAGCTAGAACTGACAGCTGAAATGGAGAGGGAGGGCTTGCACAGTCAGAACAGCACTTCTCCTGAGTCTGCACTGAAGATACCCTTTGTAGCAGGGAGGGAACCAGGGCAAGATTAATCCATGTGCTTCAGGTGAGCACTTATTAGATAGAAGAGTGGCAGCTCAGGCCACAAAAAGACTAAGTGCCTACAGCTGCAGAAAGACAAGCATTAAAGGGTTTATCCCATCAATAGGTTCAAAGCAGGAGCATCAAACCATTCTGATTCACACCCTAGAAACCTTTCTGGTTCTTCTGCCGTGTTACAGGGAGGGTTGCAGGTGGCAGTGCAGGTGTTTAAAGAAATGTAAAGTCCCCTTGATCACCTCTCCTGCATAAACAATGATGCCAGTTTGTAGAGATTGCAAGTCCAACCCAAACACTAATATTTGCATTCTAAGTAACCAAATAAAGAGAAATTCAGTGAAAATCAATGGGTATTTATATAAACACATCCCAGAAGTTAGTGGTTAGAAAAGAAGGCCACTCAATTCCGCATGCATATGCTTAGTCTACATTCAAAATACCAACTCTGGAAACCTTAATGCCAAACTGCTCCCAAACTTGCAGCCATTGTTTTTTTGGCTCCCCACCTGTAAGTTGTAAGGGGGCAGATGAGAAAACTTCTAAGGATTTCAGATGTGGTTCTATCTCTATTTGAGCTCTAGGCTGGGAGTAAGGGAGTAGAGGACTGGGCTGGGCACAATGCCCTCCTCCATGACCAGCAGGACCAGGGCTTGCACCCCAAGAATGGTAACTCCACGCAGGGAGCTGGGACCGCTGGCCCGGCACGCTCACATAGAGCAGCCTGTGGGCGAAGGAAACTGTAGTGTGCACTTGGGCAGAGTAAGCGCGTTTGGCGGGAGAGGGCACAGTGCTGACTGGGCATCTCTGCGTTGGAGTCGTCCCTTTCGCATGAGCCTATCTGTGCCAAGGGCTGGAAACTGGGGCTGCAGGAGGGAGGCGGGGTGTCAGCCGGGAGCACTGGCCCCTCGGCCCTGTGGTTGGGAGAGGAGTCAGGGGGAGCCCAGGGCGCCAGCCAGTTCTCTGCTCCAGTCCACAGATCCTTAACGGATTTTCTTTCTCTCCCTTCACCCCTTTCTCTCCTTTGCTCTCTTTCTTTCTTTCTCCCTCTTCTTTTTCCTTTTTCCCTCTCTTTCCCCCTCCCTCCTCACCCCTTCCCTTCCTCTCCCCTCCCCTTTCCCCTCCCCCTCCCCCGTGTGCGAGCCTCTTCCTCTCCCCTCCTCCCCCTTCCGCCTCTCTCCCTCTCCCTCCGTCTCCTTCTCCCTCTCAGCTCGCCGGGCGACCCTGCTCCTGCCTCCCACATTAATGGCGGCATCCTCGGAGGATGATATAGACCGGCGGCCCATCCGGAGAGTGCGCTCCAAGAGCGACACGCCATACCTCGCGGAGGCCAGGATCTCCTTTAACCTGGGGGCAGGTAAGGACGCCACTGGCGCCGCGCCCCCGCCCTGCTCCTCCCTCCCCGGCTGCTGCGCCCCCGCCCCTCCGGGGCCCCCTCCCCGGCCCTCCCCGCAGCCCCCCGCAGCCGGGAGCTCCGCACTCGCGCTCTTTGTGTCTCCGGTGCGCAGAGGGCGTGTGTGCGAGCTGCGGGGTGGGGGAGGGCGGCGCGTGCGGCCCCGCATCCGCCCGAGTCCCACGCGGGCTTCCCCGGCACGGGGTGGAGGAAGTGCTGTCAGTGACCACAGTGATCCCGGGAAGAACCCGGAGCCCAGGCGCGCGCTCGTGCGCAGGCTGCGCCAGCGGGGTCTGGCGAGGCTCCCCGGGCGAGGTTGGCTGGCGCGGCTACTACGGGGTGGAACTTGTTGGTGACATTCAGACTCTGTTGGCTTTGACGCCGCTGCGGTGTTGGAGTGGAGAGAGGGGGCGGGGCTGGCCGCCGGGAACGGAATCTTTTCCTTGCAGCCAGCAGCTGGGAAGCTACCAAGCTGGTCCAAATAGCATGGTCTGGGGGATGCAGTTAGGTGACTTGATGCTGACCCTGGAACTGGTGCCCAAAGTGGCCCAGATCGAATTAAGTGAAAAAGGTAACGGATACAGGAGGGAGGGAAGGAAGGAGAGAGGAAATGAGGAAGGAAGATAGGGAGAAAAGGAATGAAACAGTGAGGGAAGGAGTGGGGTACGAGGGAAGAAAAGAGGGAAGGAAGAAAAAAGGAGGGGGAAAGAGGGAAGGAAGGGAGGGGAGAGTAGAGAAGGAAAGCAACAGAAAAAGGACTGAGGGATTCAGAGTCAAAAAATGCCTTGGTTGAGTCCACTCAGGGTTACTCAATGAGAAAAGCCCAGAATCCACTGTTCCCTCTGCTGCTGCTGCTGCTCCTGACTCGCCTCTAGAGTGCCTTACTCATTGGTAGTCACTCTAACTGGGAAGAAGTTGTTCAGCACTAACTTCATAGCTCTGCCTTTGCTGAATGATTCCTAAGCTTCCATCCTAGTTTGTTTTCTCTTCCTCTCCAAGTTCTCTTGCTATTCTAGCAACTACAATAAAAGTGAGGGCATTTTCCTTTCAAAATAAGTTTAAAAAGCAGATGATACCCTTGGCTTTAGGAAACTAAGGTCTTGGAAATGGGACTAAATCAAACAAAAGTGTGTGTGTGTGTGTGTGTGTGTGTGTACGCGTGCGTGCGCCCATGTGTTGGAGCAAAGAGAACCTTCAAATGATGGGTATTTTTGCTCTGTTGCAAAGTTTGGACAAAAGAGAAAACTCTGTATAGAAAAACAAGATGCACTGACTAAGCAACCATACCTTTATGGCTGGAAGAATGGTAACTGAATGTGCCAGAGTGGCCAACTGCCTTGGAATATAATTTTCCTGTCTTGATGATTTGTTGTTTTAATCATGTATCCTGTCCTTCTTAAATACGTGCCTCTGGCTTTGGGGCTGAAGACAAGTTTATTTAGGAAGCTCTGGGATTTTCTGTGGTATGCTGTAGTAGTCCATGGTGTCCACTGTGGAATTGAATCCCCTACTTCTATGTTTTAGATTGAGCATATGGTTGTAAGGGGTCTTACAAAGGACCCACAAAAGTTTCTTTTAGGAGCACGATTGTTTTCCCAACCCAGTGATATTGGGAATTATTCTGCTGACCCTTTGCTAGCTGACTCAGCTGTATTCTCTTAGTGTCTTTGGCTTAGCCCAGGAAGAGCAGAGCCAAAGCAGCAGTTTGTAAAGGTTGTTTACCTTCTAGTACTTTTATAACAAAACAATAAAATATAGTGCTAAACAAGAGTTTCAAGTTTCAGCTACTACTCAATTACATTGAGCCACTTTGTCACCAGATTAAACCTAGTGACTTGCAATCTTTTATTCTGGTTAAATTGCTCTGGAGTCCAATTAAAAGATTGGCTCAGACAGGACTTGTCTCTGTTTCGTCTGGAAATAAATAAGCCAGACAAGCACTCAGCCCCTTCTATATGTCTCTTAAAATATTCCTAATGCAAAGTGGCAAGAAAAACACCAGTAAGAGAAATGTGAAGAGGATACTGTTAAGGGTGGAAGGGCATTAGCAGCCTGCTTTGTACTGCAGTCACGGGAGCTGTCCTCCCTTTGTGGTGCTGAAGTGAGACAGAAGTGACTATAAGGTGGGTAGTGGAGGGACTTGTACTCTTTCCCTCCTGTGATGGAACCCCAGAGAAAATGCAGAAGATCTGGCTACCAAAAACTTTTCCATCTCTCTCCACCTATATTTACTGCCTGTTTACTATGCATCACGCCTACTGCTCTACTGCTCAAATCGAGCATTTATGCTCTAATTTTGCGCCAACTGCTCACTCCTGGGGCTTTGTTTATTTTCCAGCTGGTTTCTGGTTGCTTCCCTAACAAAGTAAGATCCACTCGCAGATGTGCCTTTCCCCCGCATTTAAGAGTAATTGTAACCCCCTGGTTTAAAAAGCAGACAGCCTTGTTTATCTCCTTGAGCTGCAAGTTGTAATTAAACTATTAGTGTCGTTATCAGCATTGCTGAACAGAGAAGCATGCACACTCCCAATAAATTACATGATCTGGGCATAGAGATAATTTTGTTTCTGTTTTAACAACAATTTATAAACACTTAAGGAAGCAATCCTGTACCCTTTCTTTCCACTCCTCTCCTGCCCCCAAACAATTACTTATTGTTTATTCTTTCCAGAGAATTTTTTTATTGGCTTAAACTATTTATCTTTAATATTTGCTTTCCTGCAGCACTAATTATACATAAACCTATGATTGATATTTCAGAGGTTTAGCAGTGCTTCAAGGAAATACATATACATATATTCATTTTACTTGACTATCATGAAATCATTAATCTGTCCAGTTGCAAAATAAAGTGGACTGGGCATTTTGAATATTAATTAAACACTTAAGCATTTTTCAGCTACACTTTATCTCCAGCAGTACTTAATAATATCCTTTCAAAAATAACTCCACAGCCTGAGTGAAGGATATACTTCACCTACAGTGGCAGGTCAGTCAAAGAGTAGCACTAAAATGTGGGTCTTTCATCAGTTTATAAAGATACTAATTTCAAGTTTCAGCTAAAATTGAGAGAACAGAGAACAGAAATTTTCTGAACCCTGACTTATTTTCCAAGAGTCCCTTTTCTAGGTTTTTAACTTCTGTTCAGCATTTAGTAGACATAAACATTGATAGATAATTGTTTGAAGATGGTATAAATGCAAAAGAAAATTAAGTCAATATATTTGTTGAAGGTTACCCAGACACATCAAAGATTAAAACATTCAACAAGGAATTTCCCCCCTAAGGAATTCAAATGTGTTAAAAGGACATCCTGTAACAGAAGAGTCTGTTCACACTATTAGTAACAAGTGTGTCTAATTGTGTTCTCACTTAGAATGAACATCACTGGCATTTATCTTCTAAGAGTGTAGCCTGCCTTATGAAGTCATTCATTCACTGCATTGCAGTCAGTGCAATGAAGAATTACAGCTCATCTGCCAGGTACTTTCCCATGGGCTAGCATATTCCATTATCTTTATATTGAGAGTATATAGAAGATTATGTGATACACAGAAGTTGTTGAAACTGAAAAATTCTCTATAATTACACACTAAAGTGAATGAAAGTGTTATAGTAAGTAGAAAAATTAAGCACATCTTATATTTCTTATAGGGTTGTCAGAAGAAGGAAGGCAAGTCATCCTGATGATTTACAATAGTTTAAAACCCAAAAGTAATATTAGGCACTATTGAGAAAAATGTGTACTTTTCTAATCATAAAGAGGTTTAACTTCTATTGATACATCAGAATTGCTTTGTCTGGGGGAGGTTTTAGATTAACAGTATGGTCAACACCAGCATACTTATTCTCTTTGGAAAGCTGAGATCTGGTTTGTTTCTGGATGTCCACCAAGGATTGCTGTTTCTGGCCTTCACTGGTTTCTTTCACCCTTTCAGGCCCAGAGGATGATGGCAGTCAGAACTGGCTTGTTCTTGTAAACTGTAAGGATGGATGGGTCTACCAAATGAAGTTATAAACTAGGTCCAAGTGTGCCTTTTTTTCCACCCTTATTCCTTAGCTGATAATGGAGGCCCATGATGTTGAGAAGTGGCAGCTCAGAATGTGCCATCGTCACTTAGTGATGAGACCTGCCCCTATGCAAATTGTAAATATTATTGCCATGCTGATCTCAGATTACTTCACCAACCTAAAGGTTTTGATAGGCATCCTCCTTCACTCTTTTACTGAAGAATGCCAATGTGTTCCTCACTATATTTTTTGTTGCTGATTGCAAATTGAAGGTGGACCATGTGGGTCTAGCTTTTATTTGGTGGCCCAAACTCTTCTTTGAGTTTGGGCTACCAAACATACAATACAAGTATTGTTTCCTGTATTTGGTAGGCAGAATTCAAATGGTGGATCTCACAGCTCACCAGGAGCCTCTAGTGTGGAAGTTTTCCCTCCTTCTGTGCTATAGTTAAAGCTAGCTAACCTCATAATCTCATTTTGTTATGCATTAAGATGGTACCAATGAAGATCATCCCAGATAACGTAATGAACAATTAAAGGGTACAGGAAAGTAAGTACAGTTGGCCTTCAGCATTCATGGGCTCCATATCTGTGATTTCAACCAACCAGGGATGGGATATATTTTTACAAAATGAATGGCTGTATCTATACTGAACATGTAAAAATTATGTCATTATTTCCTAAATAGTACAATATAACAACTATTTATATCGCATTTACATTGTATTCGGTATTATACGTAATCTAGAGATAAAGTATACAGAAGGATATGCATAGGTTATATGCAAATACTACACCATTTTGTATAAGGGACTTGAGCATCCATGGCTTTTGGTATTCACAGGGGATCTTGGAACCAATCTCTCATGGATACCAAGGGATGGCTGTAATTAACACTATGAGTAAATGGGAAGCCCTTTTCCATAAATATTTTATTTGTGAAACAACTAGAA